TGTCATTCTGATAAGTGTAAGATGGTATTTCAGAGTCATTTTGTTTGCATTTCCCTGATAGATAAGGATGATGAGATATGGACTGATAGCTGGGGAACCTGCATGGGACCAAACCAGGCTCTCGGAATATAGGTGATACCTATGTTTCTTGACCTGTTGGAGAGGGGGCCCTGGCCTATCCCAGGTACATGAATGGAGTCCATTCCCTATGGTGAGATACCTTTCTCTGCCCTGATACAGAGGAGAGGGGTTTGGTCCTGCCTCAACCTGGTATGTCAGACTTTGTTGACTCCCCAAAGGAGCAGATGAAGAGGGAAGAGGGGGAGAGAGGGGAAACTGGGATTATTATATAAACTGAAAAAATTAAGTTAAAAAATCATTGAAGAAAAAAATAAATTTATTTTACTAAGTAAACAATGGGTTTTCTTTATGATCATTTCATAAATTATTGTAATTTGCTTATATTTGCCCCCATCACCCACTTGTCATCCTCTTTCAACACCTACTGCTCTCCTTCCTTCTACTTTCATGTTTCATTCACACATATGCACATATCTATACATTTAAACCTTGCTATAGCACATAATGTTTGCCTTTTTATTTCCTGTTATTCTCATTTGTTCCCCTTATGTCTTCTTTCCGCTACACTACCCCTTTTCTGTTTTTAATTAATTACATTGAATATATACATATATATAATCTCAATTCTATATGTGGCAGAAAACGTGTTATTTGTATAATATTTTCCATATTTCTTTTGCAAGGAACTTAAGTCGGTAGCTGTACCTGTGTGGCTACTCCTTCATGCTGGGGAACTAATGAGCTGGTGGTAAATGAGCTCCAGGAGCCAAGGCAGGCCAGAGGAATTAGTGTTCTCAGAACCACGGCTGCTGACTACTGAGCTGCATCCGGCCATTAGTCTGAGGTTGTTACTAATTGCTTTATAATGAAAAAAAAAGATTTGCTTAATGTTTCATGAGTCAGCCGGAGCAAGCATCTCTGTAATAAGACTGTCTTGCTACCAAAGACTTGCCCTGATGTGTTTCTAACTTTCTGATTTTTCTTAGGTTGGGATGGATTTTATGTTCTAACATACTCTTAATGTGCTATGGATTATTTATTCTGAAAACATTTTTATTAAGCCCCTATCAATTGTTAGTGTTTTAGACATTAAGAAGTATGGTGAGTTGAATTTTTTAAAGATAAGTGTTTTATTAATGCATCTTCCTGTGTAAATAAGCAAAGAAGACTTCATGTGTGATGACTTTAAGGGAGTCCATTACCTAGTTGTATAAGAATGGGTGCAACTAGACTCTGCCTTTTAGCATAAAAATTAAAAAAAAAGACTTGGCCTGGCCAATTGCCCATGGCTGAGAGAAAGGTCAAATGGGACCCTCACCACATGCTTTGAGAATCTCATAGCAGTACATGAGGGTGATTAAAAGGCCTCTGCCCACTGGGAGCCCACAGTGGAAATGAATCAGACACAGACTCACTCACATGGGGCAAGGTCTATAGCAGGCACTGACTGAGGGGCAGTATCCCCGCTACTTCAGGGAATTCCCCGGCAGATGTGCCACCAGGAAGACTCCATGCAGTGGGCACATGGCCTTTAGGTGGGGCCATAGAACATGGGTGGGATTCCGCTTTGCTAGAACATTCCAAATATGAGCAAAGGGCAAATTAAGGGGAAAGAAGAAAGTGCAGAGGGCACAGGAATCTGCCTTCAAGAGTTTCTGCTTGGGAAAGAAAGAAAAGCAGAAACACAAAAGCCACATGATCCATAGATAGCTGCCATCCCTGGCCAAGACTAGTGTGCTGCAGGGGAAAGGCAGGCTGGTGTTCACTCCTCTGTCTTGTGTGGGGCCAAGCTGCCCATCTCTCTCCAGGCAGTTTTCTAGCCTCTCCTGGGGCTGCTGCTCTATAGAAGCCACCCTCCCAGCCAGTATCCACACCATCCATGCCGCCAACCATACTCCTACATCCCAGGAAGCCCCTACCCTCTAAACTCCACTGGCTTCAGAACACACCCATCACGGTTTGGCCAACATGTCCAACCTCAACTGTCAGCTTTTCAGCCACCCTGTGCAGATCTTGTCCGCTGGATCTGAGATCTGAGGACCTGAAAGAATAGGGCAGACAACAGTCTAATGCTGTAGACAGCCTTACTTCCTTTTCAGTGTACTCTTATGCATGAATATAACAAAGAAAGCAGTGGAAGAAAACAAGGAAATCACTGAGTTTGAGTTCAGAAAAACACGTAAATAAAAACACCAATAAGCATTGACATAGCAGCCCTTTTACAAGAACTTTCTCAGGACAGACCAATTTTAACACAATAGCCTGGCATGGACTAGAGATTATAACTATAAAAACATGGAAGCGAGGCAGAAGGCAATTCAGGTCACACAGACCAGACTAGGTTTTATAGCTATGTTCTGACATCCAACAAGAATAAACATGTCTTATAAGTTGAATGTAAGTGTTTAGCACAGGAGGCACAAAACCACATCCAAGAATAATCCAGGGAGCAAAGTACACCTGAGGCAAAAGGCCCTGCTAGTTTCCTGGAGCCTCTCTCACAGTTCTCCAAGGCATTGTTGACCATGTGTCATTCTTTTGACCGTGTTCCAACACACGACTCCTATGGCATCTTTTCATTTGCCCTCTGACCAAATTACGCCAGACCCAGTGTCACACTCTGGATGTGTCAACACTTTAATGTGACCATGTGCACCTGCCCTGACCCTTCTCCCCAGGGTTCCAAAGCCCACCTTCATCCCCTTGGGACTCAGCCTCTCTGGTGCAAACCCAGGGTCCCCCTAGTTCTTCCTTGCCCCCCTTAGCCACTCTTTTGAGCCCAGCTCCATCCTTTGTGACATCCCACCAGCCTGCAAAATCACTCTCCAGCCGGAACCTCACAGTCACTTCACTCAGCTAGAACCCAAGCGGATGCATCACTCTGCCCTCATCAGAGAAGCTTCTTCTTGCAGTAGATGGGAATGAACACAGAGACCCACAGCTGGACAGTGTGCAGACAGTGAGAGACCTCGGAGCACTTAGCCCTAAATGGAATGTCTTCATCAAACCTCACCCCTCGGGGCTCAGGGATCTGTGGGGGAAGACAAGGCAGAAAGACTGTAAGAACCAGAGGTAGTGGATAACTCCCAGGAAACAGTGTATGAACTCACAAAGACTGACCGCATGCACAAGACCTGAACAAATCCAAGTCAGACAAAATCCTAGCGTGGAGAAGGGGGAGTAGACACAAAGCCCCACCCCTAATTAGAAAGTTATTTGCAACTGATATCTGTAGGAGAGGGAAAATCACTTTTCTCCAGGAGAGTGACGCTGAGTATAGCAGCCACACTCCAATGGAGGCCTTATGCACAGGAGTTTTGACCAACACACAACAGACTCCATGTTCGTGTATGTGTGTGTGTGTGTGTGTGTGTGTGTGTGTGTGTGGGTGTGTGTGTGGGTGTGTGTGTGGGTGGGTGTTATGGTTTGGTTCTTTGGTCTTTTAGAGGTTTGTTTTGTTGATTTTTGGCTTGCTTCTGTGTGGAGCGAAGAGAGAAAGAACATGAAATGTTGGGTAGGGAGGTGAGGAGGATCTGGGAGAAGTTGGGGGAGGGTAAAGAATATAATGAAACAATATAGAAATTTAAAAATAACAATAAATATAATTAAAAGGCATACGGTCAAAAATGAATGGATAAATAAGCAAAATAAAGAGAGTAGGTTCTGCAGTTGGATGCCCTGCTTTGTGCTTTAAGCTAAGTTACTTAGTAAGTCTGCTTCACCATCTGTGAGACGGAGGTAAAAAATACCCGCCTCCTAGATTATAAAGATTAAATGGGTTCAAATAAACAGAACTTATTAGTTCTCACTGCACAGTAGGTATCACCAAATATTAAATGTTATTGAAACTCTTAAGATTTGACTGGATATCCAGGCAGTGATGGTGCATGTCTTTAATCCCAGCACTTGGGAGGTAGAGTCAGGTGAATCTCAATGAGTTTGAGGCCAGCCTGGTCTACAGAGTGAGTTCCAGGACAGCCAGGACTGTTACACAGAGAAACCCTGTCTAAAAAACAAACAAACAAAAAACAAAACAAAAAAAAAATATTAGGCAGGATATCACTTGCATGGAGGATAAATGACTCCCCCTTCTGGACATGTAGATTATTGTCACAGTGCTTATTTTATCTCCTTGTGCTAGAAATTCAACAACACATCAACCTGGCAGGATTCCCAGCTCCCCCTGTTGCTCCGGAAATGAGACTAGTCTGGTCTGCATGGGGAACAATGAAAACTTCACAGACGCCATGGTTATTGTGGCTACACAGTCAGGATGAAGTAAGGTCTGCTGTAATAACAAAGCAACCCCCAGAGCTCAAAGACTCCAGAAGGCAAAGGTTTCTTTCTCATTCACAGTTGTGATCTTTACCGACTGGTAAAGATTCAATGCCATATTGTCCTCAGTCAGGGACCCAGAAAGACAAAGTATGTAATCTGTGGAACACCATCAATCTCGTAGGCAAAGGGAAGAGAATGTGGCAAAGACGTTTGCTTAAAACTGACACACGTCTGTTTACATTTCCCCAGCCAAAGTGAATCAGACAAGAAAAGCTGTAAGTGCTCCTAAGACGAGAACATTGATATCCAGCCTGATGCTGGCAGTCGCCTAATTCATCTGAGGAATAGGCTGACTTCCAACATGTTTTTGGCACCTTGCAGCAATGAGGGTTGAAGCAGTGAGGGGGTTGTAACTTCAGTCCAGAGAGAAGAGGCCCTGACATCTTGCTCAAGCCCACCTCCTCCACTGGAGATGGGGATCACATGCAAGGGAAGCAGCAGCAGGGCATTCAGATAACAAGCGTGGACTCTGGGGCTCAGCCCTCAAGGGTAGAGCAGACACGAGGCCTGAAAGGGACGTAGAGCTCTAGTGCCATGCTGGCCCCACGGCTTAAAGGACATCAATAGAGATCTTCACCATCTTTATTACACTTATTTATTTGGGACAGGACATCATGTGCTGCTACACAGGTGTGGAGGTCAGAGGACAGTGAGAGCCTAGGGATACGACTCAAGTCACTGGGCTTGGCGACCAGTCTATTTACCCACTGAGCCATCTCACCAGCCCAAGATCTTAATCTTTATTTACACATTATCCACAGCTCTCTGAACGTGCTAGGTCAGCTGCACCTTGAGGAAGAGATCCTAGAACACTGCTTCTTCAACTGACAGGGCATCAAGGAGCCCTCTGTCTTTCCTCCTCCCTCTCAGCCCCAAGGACTGCAACATGACTGTCCCAACTCATCTGGCTTATCTATGATAAGCCCTGGTGAACACGGGGCAAGCTCTTTCTTTTTGAGAAAGTGTCTCTCCATGTAGCTCTGGCTGTCCTGGAGCTCACTATGCTGACGTAGAACTCACAGAGGCGTACCTGCTTCTGCTCCTTAAGTGCTGGAATTAAAAGTATGCACCACCATATCTACCTATGAGGGTCCTTGCAGTCATGATAGTTTTACAGCTATGCAGTAATATATAATCTTCCCAAAACAGATGGCCATGTGTTTATCAAAGGGACAAGACTCTGGAAAAAATGAATTTTATTCTGTTATCTGAACTGTAGCCAGCAGTGGGAGCCAAGTTCATCAAATGGGTTCCCACAATCATAGAGGTTGCAAAATAACTCACACAAAGAGACATGACTGCTCCCCAAAGTTACAAGTATCCCTGAGCCTTGGGTCCTTTAGGAGTCTAGGAGTAGGCACAGTGATGGTGGCCGTCTCCTGGAAGGTAATGTAACATGGGAAGACTGCTGGCTCTGGCCCTACATGCATACCCACATAAACAGGGCCAGCGCCATCAAAGGCCAGCAAGGCCCTCACCACAGAGAAAGGTGGGACCTGGAGGATAAGGCATTCTCTCATGAAACTGACTACCGCTTGTGGCAGGAGTGAGGGGACATAAGGCTGTACATAGTCATGGAAAAGGCCCAGTGCCTTGCAGCCATCTTTAACAGTCTGTCAGAACTGTGTTTGCCACAATGCTGTGGTCCCTTTTGCTGTTCATGCCACCCACCTTTCCTTCTCTGGAATGTATCTTCAAGCCAGCTGTGCTGAGAGGACTCAGGGTAGCCCTGGTGCAGGACTTTCCCAGAAACAAATGTGCATGGCAAGGAGAGCACACAGACCCCAGCTTCCTCCAAGCCATCCTGCTTCAGTGTCCTCAGGTCTCTCTCTACCCAGAGAACATGCTATAGCTAAGGGACCACAAGACTGGGAAGGGGGCCTCCCTCCACCTGGTACAATCCCGTAGTAAGGATTTTTCCAATAATGCATTTGACTCAAAGCTGGACCTCTTACAGAGACCAGTCCAAAAACTGGGCATAAAGCGGGTTTTCCTTACTTAGTTGGAGCCATGGCTACCAGACTGTTAGCTCTGAAGTTTTCTTTCTGTCTACAGATGAATCACAGATGAGCCTGGTTAGTGATCAGCAAACTGTTTTTCTCTTTCTTCTTCTCCCTCTCTCCCTCCCATTCTCTCCACCTCTCACATCTGCATTTGCAATCAGTTCCAGAAGATCCTGCTCTTGGAAGGCACTAGTTTGGGATCTGATGAGTGACTCCTGGCTGCATGATTATCACATTCCCTGAAGGTAAGACCTTGGCCAATTTAGATAGTACCTCATGATCAGTACAATTTACAATCTACCCACAGAGCCATCCAGGAAAAGGACAACCCATTGATCATGTTGGCAATGTCAATTAGATAGAATTCCCAGAATTCCTTTAGCCAATGAGCTTGCATGAACTAAGGCTCCTTCTGGCTGAGGTCTCTCCGGAGCATGACCAGAGCTGCTCCAAAGGCTGCATCCACATCCTGTCCAAAGCACACCGGCAAAGGGAAGGCCCTCTGGACCTCCTGCTTCAGCACCTCATTCCTGGACAGCGCAGTCCCACTCCCCATCACCCGTTCCACACCCCACTCTTTGAGCTGTTGAAAAGGAAGCATGGAGTGCAGGTTCTGAACAATGCCTCTGCACAGGGCCCGGGTCACATGACCCAGGGAAAGGTCAGAGGAGGAGATTCTCGTCACAGAGGCTAGCTGGTCTGGCAGGTGCCTCTCACCCAGTACTGTTGGGGTGATGGTAAGGTGTGTATCTTTCTGCTGTGCAGCCGCCTGGATCATGCGTGAATAGACAGTGGATTCTTCAACCTCCAGGCCTGTCAGAAATGGAAGATCTGTTATAAGACCATGCAGCTTCTGGAAGAGGCAGAAACTGTTTTAAATCCCCAGGAGGAAGGGGCAGATATGTCTGCTGCTTCTCACACTGGCTGGAAGCTTCCAGGCTTAGAGATTCAGTCTGGCTCGCTAGATTCTGTTCTAGATTCCAGTCATTTGTCTCCCTGTGGCCACAGCTAGACTTCTGGGAGATATTGTTGTGAATCCTAGCCCTAAAGTGAGCATCATAACTATAGCACAGCTATATGATGCTAAGGGACCAAACATAAACACCCACTAGCAAGCATCACCAGAAGTGCCATTTGAGCCATTAGCAGTGTCACTGCAATCCATGGATCCACGCTACACCACCCTTGCTATATGAATGAAGCCTAAGCCATTCTCGTTGTATGGATGGGTTACCTGGGGCCCAGGAAGAAGTGATATGTTTGCTATCTTCAACTGATTGATGTCAAGCCAGTGTGCCAGTCAGATTTTAGTTCCCTGTCCTATGTTATCTCTGCATTCTGAAAAACAAAGTTATCTGGGTACAGTGAAACTCCAGAACTCAGAAAGCTGAGGCAGAAGGATGGCCAGTTAAAAGCCAACCTGATCTATACAAAGACCCTCATCTCAAAAAGAGTTAAAATATAAATAATAAGGAAGGTTGGTTTTTTTTGTTTGTTTGTTGCTTCCATGTACTGTCAAGTTAGGTCATTTGGGGGCTGGGACATGGCTTGGTGGTGGAACACTAGCCTTGCATGATTAGAGCCCTGGGTTAAATATCAAGCACCACAAAAAGAAAAAAAAAAGGTTCTGATCTCTAATTTTCTATTACCTGAAGGAGAACAAATACAACTTTGATAAGAAAACTCTTTACTAAGTGTAGTTCACCACCATAGCCTGAGTAGCTCTCAAGTCTCTGTGGGACCCGCTCCCTTTGATAGAACTGGCCTAGGCTACAGATTCTGAGACACAGCCAGGTTAGAAAGCCAAGAGCCTAAGGCTGTAGGTGCTTCTGAAATATGAGTATGAAATATGAACACAGCTTCTGACTCAGGGTACCGAGGTGAGACTGCGAAATTCCTTATTTATGGAAAGCTCCCAGAGGCACAGTGTTGCGGGTCCCAGTCAGAGAAGTACAAATGCAACGGCAAGCCGGGCGTTGGTGGCGCACGCCTTTAATCCCAGCACTCGGGAGGCAGAGGCGGGCGGATCTCTGTGAGTTCGAGGCCAGCCTGGTCTACAGAGTGAGTTCCAGGACAGCCTCCAAAGCCACAGAGAAACCCTGTCTCGAAAAAAAAAAAAACAAACAAACAAACAAATGCAACGGCATCAGAACCACCCCCATCTCCAGACTTAGTCTGCACCTCTGAGCATGGAGAGATCAGTACTGGGTCTTCAGGGGCCTCGTGTGCTCTATGTACGTGTTCAGGTGGGTACATGAATGTGAGTGGAGTGCACATGTGTGTACATCCAATCAGAGTGGTAAGCAGAATAGTACTTTCTCTTTCACAGGTAAGAAATCAGTCCCTTACTGACAGCACAGAGAACAACTGGTAGACCCAATCCAGTTACAGCAGTATCTGAACATAGGGTTTGCTTGGATGGTCTGAGGGCTCGTTCTGCAACTCAAAACCTTCTCCTGATTCTTCCTACAAAGAAACACGACAAGGATCCAAGCCAAAAAAAAAAAAAGAATTTAACCTTTAATCTGCCAACACCAGCCTGCCAACTTGTGTGCACAGCCAGTAGAAGCTTCCCACATGCCTTCTGCCTATGCCTCTCCCATTCCCGTAGTTCATGTTTCCTGCAGTTACCTGACTTTGACATACATGTTCCAGTGATCACTGCACCTGACATGTCCCAGGGATCACTGCACCTGAGGGCCACAATTGCCCTAAACCTGGGTAGCTGACCTTCAGTGTTTGCAGGACAGACCTCTGGTAGATGACAGTTACATGTGCCATTGTACATACAGAGCAGAAGAAAACCAGTAGATCCTCTTTATAAATAAAAGAAAGCAGAAAGAAGGGCTCCATAAGTCCCAAGGCGCCTTCCAAAACATCCAGGCAGGAACTGCCAACCAGAAGTAAATGTTATTAGGATTTTATAACATTGTCAAATACCAGTGGTCTTTTTTGCTCATGTGTGTCAGTCATTCCATTTCAGATATTTGTAGCCACCGGGTAATGGTGATGCACACCTTTAGTCCCAGCACTTGGGAGGCAGAGGTAGACAGAGCTCTAAATTCAAGACTAGCTTGGTCTACAGAGAGAGCTCCAGGACAGGCTTCAAAGCTACAGAGAAACCCTGCCTAGAAAAAACAACAACAACAAAAATCAGATATCTATAGTCATCAGAAGGAAGGCCTAGCAGAGAGTAAGACTATGGAGCCAGGGGGAGCTGGGAAACTGTTGCAATAACCCACGGTCAAAGTCAGGGAAAAGGTGCCTGGCCATCTGCTCCCCTACACACACACACACACACACACACACACACACACACACACACACACACACACACACACACACACACACACACACACACACACACACACACACACACGACATTTCATAAACAGAGGAGAGGAAGCTGAAGGCTCAGACTCCTGGGGCAGGCAGGAGCATGCAGGGACTCATCTGGGTGGGAGACTGGATCTGGGCATTACACATTAAGGGACAAGAGCAATAAGCAGAGAACACACTACTCTGTGGGCTAACCCTTACCTAGATCCGCCATCCACTGAACAAGCATGTGGACAAACGTGGCCAGCACATTGCCTCCGTTGAGTGATGCTGCCACCCCTAGGTAGGTCCTGTTGAAGTAAGGGAAGAAGGCGACTGGGGCTGCCGGATCTGGAGTCTGCAGTGGCTGGAATCCCACAGGCATGGAGGCCGCCAGCTGGACGGAGGTGCTGATGTTGAGAACTGCACAAAGACAGCAGAGCTTAGCCCTGCAGGGCCATCTCAGGGTCACATATCATAACATCATAACAGAGCAGGTGCCATGTCCAAAATATGTACACTCTTAAATAGTATTTCTTTTTTAAGAGGCGTAGTGGATTGTCCTCACCAAGTGTGTCCTGGACTCAGTCTAATAAATAAAGTAAAGCACTAGTAAAGAAAGTAAATGGTATGAGACTAGACTCAGTCTAATAAAATAAAGAAAAGCAGGAGCAATAGTGCATTACTTTCCAGGACTAGCAGGTTTAGAAACCAAACTGAAGTCAGCGTCCAATTTCCTCATCTGTTAGGGGATCAGAAACAAAAGCAAAACCAGCCTCAAAAGGCAAAGAAGAACCTTTGGGCTGTGCCACATCAAACCTTCTAGCAAGGCTGTAAGTCAGAAGCAGCATGTGCCCCACCTGCCTCTAGGCTCAGGACCCATATCCTAGGAAGAGCCTTCACCACTAACCAATTTTAGAACATTCCCATCACTCTAAAAGGAAAATGTACCCTTTAACAATCATTCCCCACAGCCCCTAGCAACGGATCATCCTCCTCTCTTCATGGGTATACCGTGACATTATGGCATTGTCTACTAATGGAAGCATATGATGTATGGCTTCATACCTGTCTCTCACTCTTCACACTGTAGTACTTTAGACTGCCCACAGTTTTCACACTCCATTCAGGTTGTTTCCACTAGGGGCTGATGTGAACAGTACTGGCATGAACTATGGGGTTGGAGTGATTGTGCAGACACGTGTTTCTGGTTCTTTTGCTGTGTCTCTAGGACATGGTAACTCCACATTTAACCTGTGAGGGCCTATGCACTGTTTTCCAAAGGGTCTTCACCACTTTATATGTCCTTAGGCTTTATAGATTCTTAAAAAGAAACCAAATGGAGACTATGCCCTGACAGAAAGGGTTCTACACTTAGAAGTGTATCTAATATAACTTTAATTGACACAATAATAACAGTGCTAGTCTCCTCCTCTTGCCTCACCCCTCTTGCTGAGAACAGAACCCAGGGCCTCGTACATGCCGGGCAAGTTCTATGCCACTGAGCCATGGTCCCAGCTAATCTCCGTTTTCTTGGTCATGGAGCACAGAAAAGAAAAAAAACAGTCTTTTCCCTCCCCAGCCCTAGTGGGGTCGATGCAAGGGGATAGAACTCTGAGGCCTGTCACCTGCCCAAGCAGAGACTCCCCTGCAAGGATGAAGGTGTTTCCACCTTCACAGGATGCTGAGTCTGTGGCTACACTATGGGTCACAGACCCTGGGTCAGAGTTGGTACTGAGAAGACAGCAACACGAGCCTAAGGAGGAAACAAAAGGCAAACTTACCTGCATCAGTCCTTTGGCCCATGCAGGAATAGACAGAGGCTTGTAAATCACCCAGGGCTACACCCACCTGTGTGCCCTCTGGGATTTCAAACCACGTGTGAGAGGTTCTGCCTGCCATGCTGCCTGGCTCTGCAATGTCGGGGAGCAGGTGGACAGGAAAGCCTGCTGCTTCCAGTCTGAAAAACAGAAGTGAGCCCTAAGTTCCCATGGTGTTTGGTCATCTGGATTTTACTGAGTTCCTAGAAACTCAGTGCTACAACTTACACACAGCAGAAGGAAAGATAGGATGCCAGGATGCAGTATTAGCACAAAATGTCTCTGGCATTTTCTAAGTCATAAGTTTGGGTTTTGTAGAGAGTGAACAATAACTTGAGATTCACCATGGAGTGGTGTTAGGGGACAACCAGTCTCAACAGCAGCCATCAGAAAGAGGTAGAGATAAATGGGAGAAGAGGATGGGACCAGGGATTAGAGATGAGTCAGACTTCAAGGGCATTCCAATACCTGTGTTTGAAGGGAACACAAACCTTCTGCAAAGGGAACACGAGGGCCCCAGCACCATTAGAGTTGGTTAGCACATTCCAACCGTCAGGCCCAGTAAGTAGCCTCATGAACACCCCATGCATCCATTGCTCGTGGTTAGTGAAGGCTACATGAAGCACACCAGAAAGTTCTTTACCTGAACTACCATGTGCTCTTAACTGTATCTCAGGGCTCAAAACTGAGGCCCTGAAGGAAGTGAACTTACAGCACCCTGAAGTTCTGTACCTGCAAAGGCAAATGTGTATGTAGAATAAAGTGGAAAGTGTCCCTTCAGCAGACAGCCTCTGTCCCTACTCTTTAAAATACTGAAGTTCTCCCTCCAGGCACGTCCTTCATCAGGATCCACCCATGAGGCCATACTCACATCTCCAAGTTCCAGCTTTGGCTCTGGGTGTTAAAATAGCCCCAGCTAGCAGCATTCTGGTCAGACATCAGGGGTTTTGGCAAGCCACACAACATGGCAACCACATAGTCTTGGATGGTGCCAGCTGCATCGTAGGACTTCAGGAACTCTGGGCTGTTTGTCAAACAAAAAGCAGTTCAGCATTATATAATAAGGATATCAGAGCTCATGCTGTACCCACCTGTGAACAGAGGGGACTAGACATGGCACAGCTGGGGCACAGTCATGACCTTACATACTGTAGTTTAACACCGTGAGTCCATGGGGAAGGCTGTCCTAGCCACTCTAGAGCAAGCTATCCCAAGTCAGTCCCAAGGGAAGGAACTTGGACGAAGAGGCACTGTACTCAGGAAAGAAGGCCATAGCCCTGACCCCACTGTGAAGTCACTTGCCCTCTCTGTCTCCCTCTCTCTTTCTTCCCTCCCTACCTCCATCCCCTGTCCTGAGTTAGAACCAGATATCCAATGGTGAGCTTCCACAAATGGAACCATTCCAGACCAAATGTGAACCTTGTGACTCCACCTTGTGCCAGGCCTCACTCAAGACACAAGGCAGCAGGTATAAGGATGCTGACTAGCTAAAGACACGGTCCTCGTCTGCTGGCACCCCAGAAACCACATGCTGACTGAAAGAACAGTTGTCAGACCTGTTTTTCAAAAGCCAGAAGATGGTTGCACAGCCAAATCCAGTGGCCACACTGAGATGGGATGCTGGCTTGGGCAGAGAACCCAGGAAACCACTGTTACAACGGCCATCCTGCCATGTGACCAAGTGGCTCACGGCTCTGGGCTCAAATACACGGGCGGGCTCTCCCTGTGTCCATTCACAGCCTGCAACAAAGGAGATAACAAACAATGGAGAAAACAGCACTGATGAGTATAGGCATGTCCTTGGTTCTGCTCTGCAAGTGAGTTTATAAGACAAGACATTTCCACTCTGTGACAGTGCTTCATTGAGACATGGTTCTGATGGCAGAGTGAATGAGTGACCCTGGGAAGTCACTCACTCCTCCTGTGTGTATAACCTCTGTCCTGCGTGCTCTCTCTCTCTCTCTCTCTCTCTCTCTCTCTCTCTCTCTCTCTCTCTCTCTCTCTCTCTCTCTCCCTCCCTCCCTCCTTTCCTCCCTCCTTCCCCCCTCCCTCCCCCCTCTCTATATATATTTTTTCATTCTTCTTGGGGGGGGGCTGCTCCTCCAGAAGACCCAGTTTCAATTCACAGCACCCATATGGTGACTCAGAACACTCTGCAACTCCAGTCCTAGGTGATGCAATGCCCTCTCCTGGCCTCAGTGAGCCACTCCAGTTAAATGTTGTCTTTATGACAGTTGCCATAGTCATGCTATCTCTTCACAGCAACAGAAACCCTAACAAAGAAAACACCACTATAGGCCCAAAGTAATTCACTGGAACCTCCAAAACTGTGAGCTGAAATGAACCTTTTTCTCTCTATAAGCAACAGAAAGCTAACATGACTTCTAACCCTGCCCTGGGCCTCATGGTTTTCCAGCAGCCTTTGAAAAAGACGGCATGCCTGCCTTACACAGCCTCTCCTCAGACAGGGATGCTTCTTACATCACCATGAATTTAACGACAACTAGTGCAGCAAAACATGAAAACAAGGCTAACACGATGTGCCAGCCAGAACAGCTCACAGAACTGAACACACTCAGTAGACAGAGGTCAAAATCTGTCCCAACCACAAGGTGGTGCCTACCAAACAGCGTGGAAGTTTGTGGCTGTGTCTGATCCCAGATTTGGGATCTAAGGTCATTGTATTTTTCTATAAATTTACTCATAGGGAACCAAAGAATGAGAGTTACCTGCCCCTCTCCATGTAGTCCCAGGCTACGATACATCCATTCATTCATTCATGGATGATGACTGCGTGCTATACTAATTGATCGTCTAATGGGCTTCATACACTGGTTCTAGTCTAGTCTCTGACAAAGTAAAGAACAAGTCCACTGCCTCCATGAAGTTATATGCCAGGATGGAGACAGAGTATAAATGAGCAAAGACGCTACCAGCTACTTTTAGTTGCTGTGGAAAATGTACAGAGGAGGAAGGGGAAAGATAGTGGTAGGTTACTGGAGGTTCAGAAAGTCCTCTCTGAAATGACATGTGAAGAACATCAACAGAGTAAGGGAGTGAACCTTACAAATAGCAGGCTGGAGAAATGGCTCAGTGGTTAAGAGCACTGGCCGCTCTTCCAGAGGTCACGGGTTCTATTCCCAGCAACCACATGATGGCTCACAACCATCTATAATGAGATCTGGTGCCCTCTTCTGATCTACAGGTGTACATCACACAGAGCAACTCATACATAAAATACATAAATAAATCTTTTTTAAAAAATTGACTGGGCACACAGATAGATGAAACCATGACTGCAAACACTCTAAAGAGACCTTGTAAACTGTCTGTCGGTATTCCTGGCATTGCAGCACAGAAGAGAGGCAGGTTACAGGTAAAGGGACCTACAACATCTGCCTGGTGTCAGTTTACGTTCCCCTGGGAGGCAGGCAGAGGAATAGGCACTTCCTCCTGTGACAGCCTCCCCCACAACTGCACTGCTGCCTGAATCTAAGCGTGGGCTTCTGAGCTCAATCCCAAAGCTGTAATCCTGAAGCTTCAGCTCCATCCCTTCATCTGTTTGCAAAACTCTTTTGATCCCATTTTACATTGTTTGAATTGTAATTTTACTGTAACAAGAATATAATGCTTATAATATGCCATAGGTTGTTTAATACACTTTAAAAATAGTAACTTACTTATTCTATGTGTCTATTTATTTATTTATGCATTTGTTTGTTTGTTTGTTTGCTGTGTACAAGTGTTTTATCTACATGTATGCCTGTGCACCATGTGCATGGAGTAGCTGTGAAGACCAGAAGAGGGCACCAGATTCCACAGGCCTGGGATTGCAGACAGCTGTGAGCTGCCATATGGGTGCTGAGAATTGATTGTGTGATTGTCATCCCCACATAAGAAAAAATAAAGCAGGACGCTTTTAGGATTTTCCCCGCTTCACAGACCTAATAATCGGCATGTGAATCTAGGAAGTCTGTCCCAGAATCTGACCCAGTGTTGCCTCCTTCTCTTTTCCTTTTTCTCTCCATCTTCCTTCCCTTTGGCAAAGAACTATTAATATATTTTGAAGCTTGTAATGACACAATGATAAATGAATGCACTCTCAATTAAAAAAAATCTTCAAATATTAGAGACAGGGCATAAGTCCTGCTTGCCCATTCCCTACATAGCTGCAACCCCCTACTTGCCACTGTGTATTCTTCCTGGGTGACTGTCTATTGTTACACTTACACAACAGGTTTTGTTTTATGTGGTTGACCTGGGTGTGTTTGTTTAAACAATAATACTCTACTGTATCTATTGCTGCCCAACAACATGTCTTGAGTCTTCCTTGTGTCAATATACTTGAATGTACCTTATTCTTTCTAACTACTAAATGAGCCTGACTATATGTATGTAATGAGTCCCCACAGTAAATGTCACATTTTTACCACCATAAACAAAGATGCAGTGAAGTACTTCTCCTGGACCAGTTCCAAGTAGTATAATTTCTGAAGCATAGTAGCCACCCTTTTTTAACAGGCCTTGCCAAGCTGCCCTACAAAACATTTCTGCTAATTTAATCTATTTAAATACCAGCTGCAGTATTTATAATAAACCAGTTTCCCGCCCCTTTGACAACTCTTGATATTCCCAGGCCTTTTTATTCCTTTCAGTCCAGTTGGAGGAAAACAGTGTCTCATGGTTGTTGACATCTGCATTCTCCTAGTTGCCGGTGATAGTGAGCATTGCCTCCTCTCTATTTCCCCTTCCAGGAATTGTTTGTCAGAGACCCTTGGTCCATCTGCCTTTTCTTCGCCTGGTGTTTGTCTTTCACCTACTCTACACTGGCCAATTTTTTCGCCCTGTCTGCAGCTCGCCTTTTAGCTTTGCTTTATGGCCCCTATTTTTCTCTTTCTTTTATTGCGCCTGAAAGTGGACTCTGAAAACAGGCCTAACCACAGGCCTCTCAGAAAATGCCAGTCATTCCCAGTCCTCCCACTTGCCCGCCTGTGTCCTCACTGAAGTACTTAGCCCTCTGCTTGAGTTGCAGGTGCCTGACCATGTTGGCTGTGTTCTGGAAGATACAGGCTCCTACACTCATTTCCTTCACTCCCAGGGGAACAATGCAGGGCCTCCACATGGTAGGTACTAAAACCAACCTGAATTGTGGCCACCATTAAAAATGGTACAACTTGATCCCAAACCTGACTTTGCTGGACTCCGTCATCAGGAATCGGCAGCAGCAAACTTGCTTCCTCTTTCCCAGAAGCAGAAAGCAAAACAAGACAGCAGGCTGGCTCCATGAAATTCTAAGCAGCTCTTTCAATGATGTGGCTGATGGTTTGTGTGGTTGGTACAGAAGCCAGGAGACTCAGAGAAAGGAAGGCCGATGACCAGACCACAATCATTAGATCTCTGCTCTCCCCTTTAGGAAGGGTTTTAGTATTAAAAGGACATTTATTCTTGTTAATGAAGAATTCGAGAATTTAAAAAGCTTTTACAACCTGGACTGCCTAGGAGAGGTCAGCTCTGGTGCCCTCATCAGCCTCCTGCTGCTTGAAGCCCAGCAGCTTGCTTGTCTGAAGTGACCTGGTAACAGGCAGATAAGGGAGAAAGGGGACTTGTACAGATACCCAGCCCTGTCTAGGACAAGGCTCAGAGGACAGACACATCACTAGATGAGGAGAGAGGAGAGTCTCCATTCACTTAGCCCAGGGGACCTGAGTTGCTGCTGCCTTTCTAGGCAGACAGAAGTGAATCCAGCATCCCACCTCTTAACCACATCAACCCCAAGCAGCCATTTCTCCTCTGCTTGAAAAAGCTGCATTCAGTCAGGTACAGTGCCATGTGTCTGTGTCCCAATAATAAATAAATAATAGCACCCATCTATGCTCAAATGATAATGTTTCTGAGGTTGAATGATAGTTTAGTAATAGTCTCCTTTCTAGTTTATGTCTATGACATTTTCTGACATTTTAAAAAAAAAGGACTGCCTAGCAATCCAGGGAGCTGGTGACTTCCTGTAAATTATACTCCTTCTGTGGACATTCTGTTGGGAAGTCCTTCCCTTCACTATACCACTACCTTCCTGTGTCTCTGGTCTTCTGAGAGGCCTTTGAAAGCTCGACCATTTTCGCTGCTGTGTGGTCCAGAGCATGTTGTTCTAACCTCTCTGAACTTCCTGCTCCTCACCTGCACAGTGGTAACTCACCATAAAGCTCTTGGGAAAGATGGATGAGGTCATACAGGTAGCACCCTTAGCCTGACACCTGGCACCTGACCCTAGTCCAAGAGCCCTTTACAACCCTGTTCTCAGTCAGTTAAGCGACCACAGCATGAGATCATTAACCATACCCAGCATACCTTGACCTGCTTTCCAAAACAGGATGCCATGCATCTGTCCTGACACTCCGATGGCTCCGACTCTCTGCAGCTGCTGCCGGGGGAGGGCATCGAGGCACTCATTTAGGGCTTGGATGATTCTAGTCACATCCTGCTCCCGCCTCTGGGAACAGAACAAGAGAGAGTGGGTATGAGCAAACAAACAGACCAACAGACCACTCCTCACCCCCCAGACTGTCCATCAAAGACCCACTCCCCACCCCCCCAGACTGTCCATCAAAGGCCCACTCCCCACCCCCTGAGACTGTCCACCAAGGCCCACTCCCCACCCCCTGAGACTGTCCATCAAAGGCCCACTCCCCACCCCCCCAGACTGTCCACCAAGGCCCACTCCCCACCCCCCCAGACTGTCCATCAAAGGCCCACTCCCCACCCCCCCAGACTGTCCATCAAAGGCCCACTCCCCACCCCCTGAGACTGTCCACCAAGGCCCACTCCCCACTCCCCCAGACTGTCCACCAAGGCCCACTCACCACCCCCTGAGACTGTCCATCAAAGGACCACCCTCCACCCCCGAGACTGCCCATCAAAGGCCCACTCTCCACCCCCTGAGACTGTCCATCAAAGGCCCACTCCTCACCCCCTGAGACTGTCCACCAAGGCCCACTCCCCACCCCCCCCAGACTATCCATCAAAGGCTCACTCCCCACCCCCCCAGACTGTCCATCAAAGGCCCACTCCCCACCCCCCGAGACTGTCCATCAAAGGCCCACGCCCCACCAGGGAGAAAGCACAACCACTCAGACAGTTCAGCAATACACCAGGCTCTGCTGCTCCACAGTCAGCAGGAGAAATACGGAGGGGGTCTACTCACAAGGAATGTGGAAGCGTGGGACAGCGGCAGAGGGAAGACCTGGCAGTACAGAGGCAGATGAAATCCCCCTCCCTCCCCTCCATTCCAGGTTGGCTGGAATGAATGACTGGAGACAGACTCAATAGGCAAAAAAGAAAACCAATTTATTAACAGGGAACGATATCCTTTAGATCATGGCAATTTGGGATATGTCAAGCAATTTGATATCAATGAAACTGGGAGGCCTTAAAAGCAAGTTTAAATTTGAGGCCCTCTAATACTAAATTTCAATAGGCTAAAAAGGCCTCACAAGGTCACCTGCCAAAGAAATCTAGATGCCTCATTGTTTCCAATGGATAAATTACCTTTCAAAGTGTACATATACAGGAGCTGGAGACGTGGCTCAGAGGTTAAGAGCACTGACTGCTCTTCCAGGAATCCTGAGTTCAATTCCCAGCAACCACATGGTGGCTCACAACCATCTACAAGTCAATCTGGTGCTCTCTTCTGGTAGAACACTGTATATGTAGTAAATAAATAAATCTTTAAAAAAAGTGTACATATACTCACATTGAAAAGAATCATACCTATGCTACTATGTTACTTCAGAGTCTTGAGATACTTAATATCTAAAGTAAATTGATTGCATTTAAAAGAATTAAATTGGGGGAATCAGCTCAGCCACAGAGTGCTTGCCTAGCAAGTGCAAGGTTCTGGATTCCATCCCCAGGATGAAAAAGAGGAAGAGGGCCAGGAAATGGTAGCGCACACCTTTACTCTCAGCACTTAGATCTGCTGTGAGTTTGAGGCCAGCCTGGTCTACAGAGCAAGTGCCAGGATAGGCTCCAAAGCTACAGGGCCCAGGCGGGTGATGGGGAAAACTACACATTACATATGGTTGTCAGGAGTGGGATCATGAATTTCCACATAGGATGACAACAGATTAAAAGGGATTTTAGAAATAAAAGAACAGAGAGAAGCACGGCTTCTTGATGGCAGCAATTTTCTCAGGTGGGCTCTGTTTTGCTAGAGGCAAGCAGAGACTCATGCAGCTCACATAAGGGAGTCTTCCTGACTCAGCATAAGCAGAAAAAAAAACCAATAAGGTTCTTTTATGAGGCTCTGCTAACAATTGAATGGTGTGCATAAGCATCTGGCAGTGGCAGTGACCACATCTCCAAGCCAGCACCATGCTGCTGGATGTCAGTATAGACTGAGATGATGAGCTGGAGTCAAACTGACACCCAACATGTTGGAAAGCCACCGGCTATTTCCATTTAATTTTAGCAGTGTTCTTTAGCCTATATGAGACACATGGCCAGAAAAACATAAAGTTTTACAGTAAAGTCAGATTCAGATGAAGAAAAATATATAGATAGATTTGGGAGAGTAAAAGAAACAAGATATTGGGAAAAAATGAAAATAAAGAAAGTAGCTGGGTGTGGTGGCACACGCCTTTAATCCCAGAACTTCAGAGGCAGGGGCAGGTAGATTTCCAAAGAGATACCCTGTCTCAGAGAAAAGATAAATAAAAGTAAAAGAAACAGAGTAATAATAATAGATAGATAAAAGAGCCATGTAAAGATGGAAAATGCACAAAGAGTCTGGGTACTATATGCTACTGTGTTTTTCAGTTTTTTGATTGCTAAAGGAACAACTGCTAAAATACACTTGATTATAAATGCTGCTGAATTAATTCAACTTATATCTTTTGAAAATGCCTTGACTTCAAAATTTAAGTATAAGGATATGTTACTTTGGAAAAGATATATTATTTCGATTTCCACAGAAAATGGAAAGCTCTGGATTCCTTCCAGGCTTCTGTGGCTTGGTGAACCAAGAACCCCTGGAAGCAGTGACCCAAGTGATCCAACCTCTAAACAGCTAAGATGATGCAACCTTACAAAAACAAAGACTTAGCCAGGTTTCTGAGTTTTGTCATGATCCCCATGGTATGGACAATGCCCCCTATCAGCAGGAAGTAGTTTGGAATAAGCAACGTCTAAATTTCCATATTGTTGATAAATCTTCATTCTCATTTGAATGGGGTTGCTTATAATTAGTTAATGATCACAAAAAATCTCTTTTTAAAGGTAAAAAGGGGAAGACCCCAACCCCAGGGAGTCCAGCTTCAGGTGAGATTGGGTCTCCGGCGGGGACCGCCCGCCCATCACCCATCCCCCTCCATCTTCGGGGCCGCTCCCGGCTTCCAGAAGAGCCGCCCACACAGGAAAGAGATCAGCCCCTCCAAGACCCCAACCCCAGGGAGTCCAGCTTCAGGTGAGATTGGGTCTCCGGCTGGGACCGCCCGCCCATCACCCATCCCCCTCCATCTTCGGGGCCGCTCCCGGCTTCCAGAAGAGCCGCCCACACAGGAAAGACATCAGCCACTCCAAGACCCCAACCCCAGGGAGTCCAGCTTCAGGAAAGAGATCAGCCCCTCCAAGACCCCAACCCCAGCGAGTCCAGCTTCAGCATCCCCAGCTTCAGCTGCAGTAAGGAAGGAGACCAGTGGAGACGGAAAGACCCCACCAGCACCCACTGGAAGAAGAGATGGGAAGAAGATAGAATAAGAGATCACTCAGCAATAGAAACACCAACATGACCCCACCAGAATCCAGGGATCCAACACCAGCAAGACCCGAAAAGCACTACATAGATGAAGAAGAGGAGACAGACCTTAAAAATTATTTCATGAAGATGATGGAGACCCTCAAAGAAGAAACGAGGAAATCCCTTAAAGAAATAGAAGAAAAATCAAACAAAAAAATCCATGAAATGGGGGGAAAAATTCAAGAAATAAATAAATCTCTCAAAGAATCTAAAGAGCACCAAGAAAAAACAACCAAGAAAATTAAGGAAACAGCTCAAACAGTTGAAGGATTGAAAGCTGAAATAGAAACGATAAAGAAAACACAGAATGAAGGGATGCTGGAAATAGAAAAGCTCGGTAAACGGTCTGGAACTACAGATGCAAGTATCACCAATAGAATACAAGAGATAGAAGAGAGAATCTCAGGTGTTGAAGACTCATTAGAGGATATAGAGTCGTCAACCAAAGAAAATCTCAAAACCAACAAATCCTTAACACAAAATATCCAGGAAATATGGGACACCGTGAAGAAGCCAAACCTGAGAATAATAGGTATAGAAGAAGGTGAAGAACTTCAACTTAAAGGTACAGAAAACATATTCAACAAAATCATAGAAGAAAACTTCCCTAACCTAAAGAAAGATATGCCTATGAAAGTACAAGAATGTTACAGAACACCAAATAGGCTTGACCAGAAAAAGAAGTCACCTCACCATATAATAATCAAAACATCAAACCTACAGAGTAAAGAGAAAATATTAAGAGCAGCTAAAGAAAAAGGCCAAGTAACATACAAAGGCAGACCTATCCGAATTACACCTGACTTCTCAATGGAAACGATGAAAGCCAGAAGATCCTGGTCAGATGTCCTAAAAACGCTAAGGGAACAAGGATGCCAGCCCACACTACTATATCCAGCAAAGCTCTCAATTACCATAGATGGAGAAAACAAAATATTCCATGACAAAGCCAGATTTAAACAATACGTATCCATGAATCCAGCTCTACAGAAAATGCTAGAAGGAAAACCTAGAGCCAAGGAAGATAACTACATTCACAAAGACACAGGCAATATATAATCATACTTAACAAAACACCAAAAGAAAAAGGGAGGAGAAACTACACAAAATAACTTCACTAACAATAAATCAAGCGCAAAAAAGGATCACCAATCAATGGTCATTAATATCCCTCAATGTCAACGGCCTCAACTTACCTATAAAAAGACACAGACTAGCAGAATGGATACGAAGACAGAACCCTTCCTTCTGCTGCATACAAGAAACACATCTCAACACCAAAGACAGACGTTATCTCAGAGTAAAGGGCTGGGAAAAGATCTTCCAATCAAACGGCCCCAAGAAACAAGCGGGCGTAGCAATCCTAATATCTAACAAATTAGACTTCAAATTAAAATCAATCAAAAGAGATGAAGAAGGGCACTTCATATTCATCAAAGGAAAAATACATCAAGACGAAGTCTCGATTTTAAACATCTATGCCCCAAATACAAAGGCACCTACATTCGTGAAAGAAACATTACTAAAGCTCAAAATGCACATAAAATCTCACACACTAATAGTAGGAGACTTCAACACTCCGCTCTCACCGCTAGACAGGACCTCCAGACAGAAACTTAACAAAGAAACAAAAGAATTAATAGAAGTTATGACCCAACTGGGTTTAACAGACATCTATAGAACACTCCACCCAAATA